AGCAATGGGCGCTCAGGGGAAGGGAGACCGAGGAGGCGAAGAGCGGACACCGGCGGCGACAGCTGCGACTGCTGCCCGACTCCAACACCCGAACCTCCAGCGACAATACGGCTCCCTCCGAGAAGCCCCACGCCAGACCCCCAGAGCGCACGAACCCCAGCGGCGGTGACGACAGCGGCTGCGACTACAGTGGCAGCGGCGGAGGCGGCTGCGGTGGGGACAGCAGTGGCGGCGACATGGGAGGCAAGACCGCAGCAGAGACAGGCGGGGGAAGAGACTCCGCCGAGCCGCGGGAGTCAGCGGACTCCTCAGCAGGGACAACCGACGGGAGGGGGATGACGTGAGACACACCAGACGGGGCAGGGCGGTGAGGGGGGTGAACAGGGTCGACTAGGGGAGGGGGGGGCACCAGGAACTGGGGGGGAGTGACCGGGGGACCACGGTGGGGAAAGCGGTGGTAGAAGGAGACGGACTCGTCAAAGTGACGTTACGAGAGTAAAAGAACCGGTGAGAGGGCGGGTAGTAGAACTGCCAGTCCGACGAGTCGAGAGGGAAACCTAGGAAGACACAGGGGACAATGCGGGCAGTGAGCTTGTCCGTGCCAGAGGCACGAACGGGTGCAAGGCAGCCCCAGACGTGGAACGCAGACGCGTCACCAGGGGACCCGGTCCAGAGGAGGGTCGGCAAAACCTGCGACCGCTGAGGGTGCGGCCGGAGGTTAAGCTGGTGAGCGGCATAGCGAACGGCGAACGGCCACAGAAAATGGGGTGCAGCGGCATGGATCATGGAGGTACGAGCCACCTCCATGACCAAACCGATGCGTCGCTCAGCGACCCCATTCTGCTGCGGGGAGTCCGGCAGGGTGAACGTCTGGATGATGCCCTCCGCACGATAGAAGCGACCAAGGCAGCCAGAGGCAAACTCGCCACCACGGTCGGAGTGAAGACGCAAGACAAGGAGACCTCGGTGAACACGCGCAGAGACAAGCCACGAGAGAAGAACATCAGGCACGTCGGCCTTCCGCTCCAGGGGAAAGACGGTGGTGTAGTGGGTGTAGTCGTTGACAAGCACTAGGAAGTAGCGCTCGCAACGTGGCCCATGGACGGGGGCGGGGCCCCAGACATCCATGTGCAGGGTCTGCAACGGTGCGGAGGTAGGGGGGAACGAGGAGGAGTGAGGGGCACGGCGGAGCCCGCCCTCGACACAGGGCGTGCACGGAGGCGCGGGTGAGGAGGGAGCGCAGGGAACGACTCAGGGAGGCCTAGGACAAGACGGTACTGGGACATGTGACAGAAACGGATGAGGGCGGGGTGACCTAGACAGTGGTGCCATTGAAGAGACAGGTGGGTAAGCGACCGACACGAGCACGCCGCAGCAACCTGGGAAGACGCAGGTACCTGGGGAGGCATCCCAACCGGGGGGGAAGCAGTGTCCAGCGTGAGCAGGCCAGGCACCGGGTCTCGGGGGAATGTAGTGAGGGGGGCACCAGTGGCGGCCTTAGTACAGACAGTGTACCGCTCGTGCCCAGGGAACGTAGTGGTGACGCCAAGGTGCTGGAGGCAGCCGACACCAACTAGGTTCCTCGAGAACGAGGGGATGTGCAGGCCTGTAGGAAAGCCTGAGGGAACCGCCGGACAGGGGAGAGTAGTGGAGTTACGTGCAATCACAGGATCGGAGGAAGGGTCTGCAAGAGCAACTTCAGCAGGAGCGGCAAGAGGCGTGAGCGTCGTGGAGTCGCGAAAGAAACACTGGGAAGCGCAAGAGTCCAGGGTAAAGGAAAGCGTGGCAGCGGCGACAGAGGTTGGAGGAGCGAGGGAGGACCCTAGGCTAAACAAGGCAGGGTATCCTACGCCTGACGCAGCAAGGGAGCCTGAACTAGGCACACTGGGCACACCTACGCTATGCAACACAGGGTAATAGGAACTAGTCACACTAGAGTCATCAACATACAACGCATACAAAGCAGAGCTAATCTCATCCATGTCCACATCAAAGATCTGAACACGACGATGGAGCAGACTGTGCCAGTCGGAGAGGTCAGGCGACGAGCCGAAGCGGAGACGAAGTAGGTCGTCTAGGCGACGAAAGCAATGAGCGGGGGTATGAGCGATCTTACCGCACACGAGGCCGCGGCGAGGACCGGTCTGGAGCTGGTACTGGCAGCGCCCGTCACTCGGACTACCACCCGACAACAGGCCGGGCGAGCGACCACTGCGACCCCTGTCACCTCCAACTCCAGGCCACCCGGGCGGGAGACGGCCGACCCTCTGCTGCTGCTGTTGCTGCTGCGACTGCTGCTACTGCGGCTGCGGCTGCTGCTGCTGCTGGTGATGCTGGTCCAGCCGCGGAGCCTGCTACAGGTGCTGTTCCTGGTGCGGAGCCTGCTGCTGCTGCTGGGGCAGCTGCTCCAAGGCACCAGCCCCCTCGTCAGTACTACCTGCGGGCGAGCCACCTCCACCACCAGCACCACTCCCTCCTCCGCCACCTCTGCCTCACCCAGCCTTGGGGTAGCGACCCTTACGCGGACGAAAATGCACTGCGGCGGCTGTCTCCACGGCCGGAGCTGTCTCAGCAACCGCAGCAGAACTGTCGGAATACAGAGCAAGGGCACAACCCTTAAAGATAGAGACTGGCACGGTACCGCTAGACTGGGCGATAGAGCACTGACAGTTCTCTATGGCAGACAGGGTGTCGACAAGTCAGTAAGGGTGAGGTCAGAGGGTGGAGACTAAGGAAGTGGTCGCGGGCGGTAGCAAGACGGTCACGATGGCGGGTGGCAAGCAGGTAGAGGGTAGAGCAGATGGGGGGCTGAAACACACGAAGCTGAGCCTCAGTGCAGGCAGCGCGCCAGGTCGTGTCTAGCGTGCGCAGGTGGGCGGCTAGGTCAGCAACAGTAGGGAAAGACACAAGGTAAAGAAAGAGCATGGGTAGGATCAGACGACCTACTAAGGCATAGGGCGTGGTAGAATAGCGCGCAACAACAACCTTTATGAACTCCTGCGCAGTCCTGACGAACCTAAAGCGGGGGCGCTCGGACAAGGAAAGGGCATGACTAATCGCAAGATATGTGACAGCAACACGCGACAACCAGACAGCACGGGCAAGGGTAGCAGCTGCAGCGGACTCACGGTCAGCAGACGTGGGGTCAGCGGGGAGGGCAGCAGGGGGGTCCGGACAGGGGAACGTACCGTCGATATGGACGGCCAGGGAGTGGCCGTCCTGCCACTGACCAGTCAGGTGTCGCTGGAGGTCGACGAGCCACGAGTCGAACTCAATCGGCTGCCCCTCAGCATCAAAACGCAAGACCGAAACCGACGTCATGATTGCAGCAGCAGGAGAAAGACAGAATTGGGCAGGAGAGCGCGGCAGAAAACTGGTGATGTGCGATGCAGAGCGGTACTGTGCAGTGGAGGCAGGTGCAGTACGGTAAGGTGTAGTGCAGGGCGGTGTAGTGCGGTGCAGAGCGGTACCGTGCGGTGCGGTGTAGAGCGGTGTCGGGCGGTGTAGCGCGGTGCAGAGGAGTCGAGGACGGCGGCGAGGCGTCTAGAAGACGGGCCGCGTGCGGCAAGGCGATGGGGTCGGCAAATAGGCTGGGCTGGCTAGGCGACGAGGCCGGCTAAGTGACTGGGCCGCGGGGCCGCGAGGTGACAGGGCCACGGGGTCGCTAGGGGACGGGGCCGTAGGGCCACTACGTGACGGGGCCGCGGAGCCGCTAGATAACGGGGCCGCGAGGCCGCGAGGTGATGGAGCCGCGGGGCCGCTAGGGGACGGGGCCGCAGGGTCGCTAGGGGACGGGGCCGCGGGGCCGGGAAGTGACGGCGCCACGTGGCCGCTAGGGGACGGGGCCGCGGGGCCGCTTGGGACGGGGCCGCGTGGCCGCTAGGGGACGGGGCTTGCAGGGCCGCTAGGTGACGGGGCCGCGGGGCCGCTTTGGGAAGCGGCCGCGGGGCTGCTAGGGGACGGGGACACGGGGCCGCTAGGTGACGGGGCCGCATGGTCGCGAGGTAACGGGGCCGCGGGGCCGCTAGGGGACGGGACCGCGGGGCCGCTAGGGGACGGGGCAGCGGGGCCGCTAGTTGACGGGGCCGCGGGGCCGCTAGGTGACGGGGTCGCGGGGCCGCTAGGGGACTGCGCCGCGGGGCCGTTCGGTGACGGGGCCGCGGGGCCGCTAGGTAACGGGGCCGCGGGGCCGCTAGGGGACGGGGCGGTGGAGCCGCTAGGTAACGGGGCCGCGAGGCCACGAGGTGAGGGGGCCACGGGGCCGCTAGGAGACGGGGCCGCGGGGTCGCTAGGGGACGGGGCCGCGGGGCCGCGAGGTGACGGCACCGCGTGGCTGCTAGGGGACGGGGCCGTGGGGCCGCTCGAGACGGGGCCGCGGGGCCGCTAGGGGACGGGGCCGCGGGGCCGCTAGGTGACGGGGCCGCGGGGTCGCGAGGTAACGGGGCCGCGGGGCCGCTAGGGGACGGGGCCGCGGGGCAGCTGGTGGACGGGGCCGCGGGGCCGCGAGGTGACGGGTCCGTGGGGCTGCTAGGTGACGGGGCCGCGGGACCGCGAAGTGACGGGGCCGCGGGGCCGCTAGGTGACAGGGCCGCGGGGCCGCTAGGGGACGGGTCTGCGGGGCCGCTAGGGGACGGTGCCGCAGAGCCGCTAGGTAACGGGGCCGCGAGGCTGCGAGGTGACGGGGCCGCGGGGCCGCGGCCCGCGGGCCCGCTAAGGGACGGGGCCGCGGGGCCGCTAGGTGACGGGCCGCGGGGCGACAAGGCGGCTAGGACCTAGGGCGGAAGCGCTAGGGGGAAGGGGGGGGGACCTACCTATCCATGATACCATGTTCAAGTGAAAGAATGACTAGAACAAGGCATACAAGGGAATATAACCTAATGGGTTGTACTCCCTAAGGCACAACCCTAGATAGTCTACAGAAACATACAATATATGTTTGACACGCGATACACTACGAACAAGTACATTCCGAATAGGTACTTCCTAGACCATAAATATGTCTGTATTACTCATTATTATTATCCTTGTCATTTCGAGCATTTCCAATACAAGGTGTAAAATCTTCCGCAGACTTTCTACTCCTGGTTCCACCAACTCTAGATCCTGACCACCCTAAACACGTGGTTCATTTCAACACCTCTAGCAGCATAGAATAGATGGTTACTGTCCTTGAATCGTCCACCATCACTCCTCAGCTCCCATCATAAGAATCCTGGTTCCACGCATGTTACGTTACTATTATCTGGTTTCCTATCATGCAGTCCATGCTTTCGACTTTGCAAGCCACATACATTTTTATGGTCTTCAACGCTGCACTTTCTCTGTGCCCTTCCTGTGACAAGCTTTGCTTGGCACCATCAGCGGTCATTGTCTCTGCTTCCTGCCCACCATGCCCATCTGCCTCCTCGCACCGCACCGCTCAGATGTGATGGTCCTCCAATCGCATGGCTCCTCTGTTCAATCTCTCACCACCCCCCCTCTCATCCCCACCTCTTATCCCCACCTCTCATCCCCCCCTCATCTCCTCTTCTGCTCTCCTCTTCTCCCCTCATCTCAGCCGTGATGACAGCACCAGCTGCAGCACATCACTCCAGGCATCCGGCACCCCTGGGAGGCACCAGTGCAAGCAATCCCACTTGGTTTTGCTGTTTTTCACCGGCCCGTAGTACATCTGCACGTGCCCGTCCGGCCTCAGCCCCGACATGGCGGTCAGATCGAGCACGCTGAACCGAGTGTTCTGGAGCATCTCCAGCTCTATGCTGCGGAACTGGGTTGCGGCTTTGTCGAGGGAGACAGAGGAGAGCGGCTTGGAGTCCGGGCAGGAGGGTGGGTAGGTGGAGGAACGGTAGTGGGAGGGGCTGTAGGTAAGCCACATGGGAATGCCCTTGAACTTGGCTTCCACGTCCAGGAATTTCTTTACCTGAACGGGGGGAGAGAGGAGGAGGGGGAGGGGGGGGAAGGGGAGGAGAGGAGGTTTGTGAGTTGACTGGACAGCCACATGGAATTGTTCTTGAAACTTAGCTTCCACGTCCAGCAACTTCTTCAACTGAATGGGGGAGAGACTGAGGGGGCGAGGGGAGGAGGTTTGGGGAGGAGGTTTGTGAGTTGACTGAAAGAGCTCAAAGGGAAGAGGGAATAAACAGGAGTGGGGGGGTGGGCAGGGAGGGGATGGGTGGGGAAGGAGAGGAATGCGGGATATGTGGCTTGTTTCCTTGTTTGAGTCCTATGTTCTCAGGGCACTGATATCCCATACACCCGGCACAGCCATACACCCGGCAGCAGCAGCAGAAGCAGCACCAGCAGCAGCACCAGCACCAGCAGCACCAGCAACAACACCAAGAGTGCCAAAACAACACGCACAGCAACACCAGCAGCTCACTCTGTTTATCACAGCGGGGATACGCGTCCTGCGCGTTGTGCCGCCCCGAGTCGACGCAAAACTCACCCTATTGATCACAGCGCGGTACGCGTCCCACCCGTTGAGCTGCACCGGCGCACACACCCACCCACCAGCACCAGCAACAACTCACCCGGTTGATCACCGCCCGATATGCGTCCTGCCCGTTGAGCCGCACGGGCTTGTTATTCGTCACAAACTGCAGCGACCGCACGTCAGTGTCCCCCTGCGCCTGAAGAAACCAATGCCCCGACATGAACACCACCACGTCCAGCTGCCGAAACAGCACCGTCCACGCCGAATCCAGCACGTCCGTCCAGATCACATACCCCTGCCCTGCGCCGTTCCCGCCTTTAATCAACTTAGTCTTCGGCGGCTGGAGCCCGTAGAGCTCGAAAGCCCACGGCTCGTTGGTGTAGCGGACCAGGAAGGGGGTCATGAAAGCGAGGATGCGCACGTTGTGCGAGGGGATCTTGAGCCCGATGACTGAGTCGGGACCTAAGTGGCCCGTCCACTCCTCGACGGTTACTTGCGCCGCGAGGAGACACGAGATGGACTGCTGGAAGTTGCGCGAGATGGAGTCGCCGATGAACGCGATGATCTGGCGGGGGAGGAGGGGAAGTGGGAGGGGGGAAGGGGAAGCGGGAAGGGGGTGGGTGGGGAAAGGAGAAGGGAGGGGGGGGTGGGAGGGCCCGTTCGGGAAGGGGATCGGGTTGCCCCAGGATACGCTCCCAGGAAACGGGACCCCTTGCAGTCATAACCCCCCATCTTATTATCAATCCTTATCTTTATCCTACACCGCAACTCGTTCCAAACCGCACCTCATTCCAAACCGCACCTCATTCCAAACCGCACCTCATTCCAAACCGCACCTCATTCCAAACCGCACCTCATTCCAAACCGCGCCTCATTCCAAACCGCGCCTCATTCCAAACCGCGCCTCATTCCAAACCGCGCCTCATTCCAAACCGCGCCTCATTCCAAACCGCGCCTCATTCCAAACCGCGCCTCATTCCAAACCGCGCCTCATTCCAAACCGCGCCTCATTCCAAACCGCGCCTCATTCCAAACCGCGCCTCATTCCAAACCGCGCCTCATTCCAAACCGCTCCTCATTCCAAACCGCTCCTTATTCCAAACCGCTCCTTATTCCAAACCGCTCATCATTCCAAACCGCTCATCATTCCAAACCGCCCCTTATTCCAAACCGCACCTCATTCCAAACCGCACTTCATCCCAAACCGCACCTCATTCCAAACCGCCCCTTATTCCAAACCGCACCTCATTCCAAACCGCACCTCATTCCAAACCGCACCTTATTCTTCAACAGCGACAGGAACGTGTTGGCGGAGAAGCGCGGCAGCGCGCACGTGGCGGGCTGCCAGCGGTAGCTCATAAAGTCCATGTTCTTGCGCCCGTTGCGCTGGCAGTTAAAGCCCGACCGGATGTACTTGCAGTCGCCGGAATAAGCCGGCCGGTACCCCTTCACGTACGCCCACTTGCCGCGCCGGTAGTCGCACGACGTGCCTGCGGGCGCGGGGGGGAGGGGAGGGGAGGGGAGGGGAGGGGAGGGGAGCGCAGCGGAGAGGAATAAGGGGGAGGGGGAGGCGGGGGGAGGGAGACGAGGACACCTTCACGTACGCCCACTTGCCGTGCCGGTAGTCGCACGACGTGCCTGCGGGTGGGGGAGAGGGGGTGAAGGGTTGGGGGGAGGGAGAGGACGGGGCGAGGGGGATCGGGGGAGGGGAATGGATGAGAGGGCTGAGAAGACGACCTCTGCTGGGGGCGCAGGCCGCAGGAGGGCGCACTCGCGGGCGCGGGAAGTTCTCGCGCCGTCCCTGGTTTAGGGACCTTGTCATTCCTTGTCGACTCGTCAGTCACCATGCTGACTCTTGCGTTTGTCCCTCCCTGGACGGTAGGTGAATCACCTCTTACTGACATATTAGCATCCTAGCCCGACTCCTTCCTTCCTAGACTACTAGTATTCTGGTCTCCTAGTCTCTTAATCTCCTATCCGCCTCTTACCTAGCAGCTGTCTTCGAATCTTAGCAGCTGACGTGGCACTGCTGGTGTTCCTCGCGCTGGGCTGGGACCCCGGCCACTCCATCCACGATCTCCGGATCTCCTCGTCCTCCTCCTTCTCAAAATCCTCGATGTTAGCATCCCCGTTACTCCCACCCAAGTTCCCGTAAGAGTTTGTCAGTGTACTGAAACCGGCGGGAGAACCGGCGGAACCGGCGGAGGAGGCGGAGGAGGCGGATGCGGAGTTGCTACCCGTGGGGGGAGCGGAGAGCCACTGCAAGAGGCGGTCGACGTCCGCTTGCGGAATGGATTGGGGGGGCGGGAAGGGAGCGCGGCGCTTCTTGGCGGCTGCTGGCGGAAGTGGGGAGGAAGCGGGGGAGGCAGTGGGGGTGTTGAACGGGTGGGCGGAAGCATACGGGGGAGAGACAGGGGCAAGTAACGGGAGCCCGAATGCTGGTGATATGGAGACGGATAGGGGAAAGAGAGAGAGAGGTTTGAGAGAAGGTCGAGAGAAGACCGAGAGAAGGTCGAGAGAAGATCGAGGGCGTTCAGATCCATCCTGTACAACGCTACTCTGTAAATGCTAGACATGTGGGATAGGTACGCGTGGACGACCGAGGTCAAAGACTCGGTTGACTCGGGCTGGAATCCAACGTTGTACGCCCTGGGAAGACGCGCCCTGAGGAGACTCGCCCTGGGAAGACGTGCCCTGGGAAGACGTGCCCTGGGAAGACGCGCCCTGGAATTCAAAAGTATAAACGCGCGCAGCATGACGCCGATCAGGCATCGAGACGCCTAGAATGACGGCCAGCATGTCCAGCAACCGACTCAAATTCGCAAGGCTCGAGTAGCATTTCGCATCCGTGCGTGCGTACCTTGCGCGCCAAGCACGGCTGTGGTCGCGACAACCGCAATGAAGACGGCGAGAAAAGCGGGCCGACACACGCAGCGTGTATGCCGCCGCGAAACACGCCTAGCACCCCCTGCACCCCCTGCAGCCCCCGCAACGCACGGTCTCCTCGTCATTATGGCGGCGTGATTTACACGTCCGCGCTAACGGCTGTCTCGGAGTGGCCCCTCCGTATTCTCGGTTGTCTCGCTGCTTGAAGACGAACCCGTTACTCAACTCGCGTGCAACTAGTACCCAACTCTCTATTTAAGACGACTTTCCGAAATACTTGAAGGGACGACTTTCAAGTCCTCTGAGTCAACCTCTGAGTCAACCTCTGAGTCAACCTCTGAGTCAACCTCTGAGTCAACCTCTGAGTCAACCTCTGAGTCAACCTCTGAGTCAACCTCTGAGTCAACCCCGAGGATAATTTCGATGTGAAATAGTAACGGACGACGAAGCAGCTGCTCAGCGACCGAAATTACAGTTGCCCTGTGGCCTCGGCCTGTGGCGTGTGGAAAGTGGACTGTGGGCTATGGGTTATGGGGTTTGCTGTTTGCGGATGCTTTGTGAGTTAACACGCGGAGCAGATGCTGCTTGGAGGAAGTCATAGGCGAAAGGGGGGTCCCGCGAATGAAGGAGTCATTGCAATACCGGGGGATGAAATCGCACCGACACCGTGCCCGACCGAGCTCTACCTATGCCAACTGTTCAAGCGCCACGAAGCCTTTGAGGGTTCGGTTAGGGGCCTGGTCGAGCTAGGTTGCCGATGAGCTGGTTTTGGAAATTTCTTGAAACCACCTGATGAGGCGAGAGAAAATGAAACGCGTACACTGTGGTCGATTCAGTCAAGGATAAGAACGCACGGCAATTAACGAAAAGGCGCAGCGCTGTATATTAAGGACTTGTCAATCGTCTTGTGCTACTTCTTAGGTAACTGATGAGACGAACCAGTCCCTTCTTAGAGGCTCCGTCAGCGGCACTACGTACGATCTGTGCTCTAGACACAACAACCCAATGCAATTCGTTATGGCTGGCTCGTGCGGGCGCTACGGAACTATTGCGCTGCGAAGCCAGCGTCGCGCGAAAGGCTCTGGCAGGGCAATGCACTAAAGAGGCTGGGAAGTAGGCTTTAGTGTGCAACGATGGCCATGCATCGAGTCATCGTTAGTAAGCGGGAACAGCGAGGACGGGAGAAAGGAACGAAATGGGCCTCCCCTTTTAGGAGGGATTACAGTACGAATATTGGCGTGGGGTGAGTTCCGGATGCTTGTTTGGCCGACATCGACAGAACCAGCTAGGAGCACCGACTCGCGACGCGATATTTTTGTGGGTTTCACTCCAACCCAAGTTCTGCCCTGGTTGCAGTGGGTTTTCCTTGGGTGAAATAGGAGTTGCATGTGGTTACGCGGGTTTCAACGAGGTGACATGGGATGTGATACGATGACTGGGGTGGGATCACTGCAACGGTCGATTCGCGTTGCTCATGCCGAATGCGAAGCGGGAATGGACTATCACATGGACGGTTTGGATTGCGAGTTTCCAAAATTGAGGCTTCATGGCATCCTCGGTCGGATCGCGTGATTTCACCACCAAGCATCAATGGATTTACGGCGCGAAAGCCCCGATTTCGTCCCCGCCCTTTTGCGTGCAACCTCAGCTGGCATATTTCTGCGTGAGGCGACTACGATGCTCATTTGAGGGGAGGGCCTATGCGTCGGTGTGGGAATGCGTGCTGTTTCCCCTCACCTTTGGGAGACATGCGCCAGCACAGAGCAGGACTTGGGCCCCCGATTGCGCATTGCGCAGCTCTGCGCCATGCCTGCTGCGCGCAGCGCAATCCTCCATACAAGCACCGCAAAAGGTGCAAGTACACGTTTTTAATGTGCAGGACAACTAGGTTCATGAATCGTTAATACCGGTACGAGACAATTGCAACTTAGCATTGGAATCTTCCTAACTGAAATTCAACATCCCCAATGAACACTTGAGATCCATGAGTCCAAATCTGTTGAAGAATACTCGATAGATTTATCACTTCTGCATTCCTGATCTTATAATTAGACTGTACTAATAGCGTGATACCTCATATGAAAGGACGCGCGTGATAACGTTAGCACTAGCGAGACAACGCGTGAACAGTAGGTCCGAGCGTATAATCACCTGAAGGGTCACGCCACTCTCAGTCACATGAACAGTCACTAGTCATGTCACGTGAATGGTCGCGATTGTCGAAAGGAGATAAGCCTAGAAGCTATGCATAGGAGAATGTTGAGAGGTTTAGCTAGGGGGGAAGAGTTAACGAGAGAAAAGAGGATTGGACTAGAAGAGGAAGACATACAAGAAGGGGGGGTTGTCCCCTCTATAGTATGATCCAGTAATGTAGCACATCTACCAAGACTACACAAATATATAATTTGATACAACCCCTAGGCTTGGTAGTGGCAAGCCCACCCCACACACAGCACCCTCACATCCTTGCACCCCCATGCCCTGCAGCAGCTGTGGCGTCGACCAGCCGGTCGACCCCTCGGCAATCGAGGATGTGACGTCGACAGCGGGTCGCAACGGCGGCGGCGGCGTCGAGGCACCCGGCGGCGGCTCCGCCGCCCGAGGCACCCGTCGGCGTGGATCACACTGCGACGACGAGGGGGAGGACGGCACGAGGCCACCAGCAGCTGCGGCGGGGAGGAGGGGAAAGGCAGAGGAGGGGAAGGGGGGGGGGTGGGGAGGGAGGGAGGGGGATCTTTAGCGAGGCGCCATGGCTGGCGCGGCGCTCACTGGCGTGCAGGCGAGCTGAACGGCGCTAAAACCGGGCGCTAGCCGCTGCAGTACGTGCGCTGGCGCGTCGACGCCGCCACGGCATGGCGTCGATGCCACGGCAGCGTGTCGGGGCTGCCACGGCAGCGCATAAAGGTTGTCGTGGAAGCACGGCATGGCCGCCACAGCGGTGCGTAAGTGACGGGAGGGGCGAGATGACGCTGCGGTAGTGTGATGATAGGCAGGATCGGCTGCTCTGGTACCATGTTGAAAGGAGATAAGCCTAGAAGAAGCTAGGCATAGGAGAATGTCGAGAGGTTTAGCCACGGGGAAGAGTTAACGAGAGAAAAGAGGGTTGGACTAGAAGAGGAAAAGATACAAGAAGGCAGGGTTTTCCCCTCTATAGTAGGATCCAGTAATATAGGATATCTACTAAACCTATACAAATATATATATATATATATATAATTTGACAGCGATACACTACAAAACATGTACATTATGAATAGGTACTTCTGTTAAAATGATATAAGTCATAATTTAATATAGGCTTGGTAGGTTGTTACTGAACCTTTCTGTAGAGGGTACAATCCCCTCCTTGTACTGCTCTCTCTTCCTAATCCCAACTCTTCTTTCTTGTCAACTTCTCTCCCCCGCTCCTAGATCTACTTTCCTCACGCCATTCCATGGCGTCCTTCCTTGCTTCCTAGCTAAGCTAGGTTCCTAAGTTAGTTAGTGTCCTAAGCTTCTTTGATATGGTATCAGAGCAGGAGGTCCTCCCTGCTGGACCGCCTCCTCACGCTTCCACCGCGTACTCCTCACCCTCCTTCGCTCGCGCGGCCATGGCGGTCGCGTTTTGCTGCAGTGGCGGCGTCGCGATGCCGCTGGCCGCGTCATGCCGCGGCCGACTCGACGCGCTGCCGTGGAGTCGGGCCGTCGTTCTGCCGACGCGACGTCGACGACGTCCCGCTGCGGCATCGACGCCGCGCTGTGACGGCGTCGTAAGGCTGCCGTGGCGGCGTCGTCGGGCGACAGCCGGTCGTGCAACGTCAGTGGCGCCGCCGGACCTGCCGCCCGCTCTGCAGCCACCGGCGTGATTTTGGACTACGCCCCGCCCCCGTCCCTTCCCCCCCACCTCCCCCTCCTTCCCCTGGATCCCCCCCTTTCTTGCTGCAGCCGACGACTGCCTCATGAGGGCCCTCCCCACCGCCGAGGAGACTGGACATGCCGCCGAGAGGGTGGGGGCCGCTGCACCGGCCTCTGACGTTCAAGCCGCGGCCGCCGCCGCTGTTGCCGCAGGCCTGGTGCCGCCGCACGCCGCCGTCGCCGCTGTTGCCGCGGGCCTGGTGCCGCCGCACGTCGCAGCCGCCGCCGCTGTCGTCACTGTCGCCGCTGCCGCCATTGCCATCTCACGGGTCGTGGGAGCTGCCCTCTTCCGGAGTCGTTGCGGCTCCTGCTGGGAATGGGGGTGCTGGGCTAGGGGGTGTGGGTGTGGGTATGGGTGTGGATGTGTGTGTGGGCTTGACACTACCAAGCCTAGGGGGTGTGTTAAAATTATATAAGTCATTATTTAATATAGGCTTGGTAGGTTGTTACTGAACCTTTCTGTAGAGGGTACAATCCCCTCCTTGTACTGCTCTCTCTTCCTAATCCCAACTCTTCTTTCTTGTCAACTTCTCTCCCCCGCTCCTAGATCTACTTTCCTCACGCCATTCCATGGCGTCCTTCCTTGCTTCCTAGCTAAGCTAGGTTCCTAAGTTTAGTTAGTGTCCTAAGCTTCTTTGATAACTTCCTACACAATGAATATGCGTATATTACTCATTATTATTATACTTGTCATTTCTGACATTTCCAATACAATGTGTAAAGTCTTCCACTGACTTTTACTCGTGGTTCCACCAACTCTAGATCCTGGCCACCCTAAATACGTGGTTCACGTCAATATGGTATTATAAGCAAATGGAAGAACCAATACAAGCTGATTTCGATTACGCCCTTAAAAGCAAAGGCTAAAATAGCAAATGGGGGCTTCAAGTGAGCCCCTCTTGAAGTGGGGGCACTCTTGAAAAGGTTGGGTAGCGAGATCGAAATTGCAAGGGATTTTTTTGGGCAGCAGGGCAGATACGAACCCACCATAATCCCTACCTACGGGAGGCTGGGCGATTTCCGTACGCGTGCGACCAGGTCCCCAAAACCACGCATGACAGTTCCGACAATGAATGTAAATTGCAACTAGGGCCTGCTTGTTCTTGTGAACTGTATCCCTTCCCCTCTCGAAATCACAAGAATACAGGGTTGTGGCGCAACTTGGAGCGAAATGAGTTGCAAACGCAAGGCAGTGCGCCAAGTGCGAACACGCTACAACGAGTAGGTTCAGGGGCACTGCAAAAATACGCGCCAAAATACTCGAAACCAGAGCAGTGGAATGAACGCTAGCGAATTTCGGATAAACACATACGTATCACAATGTCATAAGATAACAACCATGCTAAACTTAAGCACATTACAAAGTGTTCCTAATTGTAATACGTTGCACAGTTGGGTTGTACTAATAAATAGATGCAAAAAAAAAAAAAAAAAAAAAAAAAAAAAAACACCTTCCCTCGGATTAGCAAGACTTGCAAACCACCCCTTGGCTACACGAGTTCCATAACTGCAATGGATGGTGCCATGATGGGTCGGGAAAAGGTGGGAGTAAAAAGGGGTAAATGGTGGGTGGGAGAAATGGGAGGTAGGATTGGGGGGGGGGGGAGGGGGGGAGGGGAATGGAGGGAGAGGGAAACAAGGTAGGGAAAGGAAGCCTTTGCATCGACGACAAGGGGATGCAGCACAAGAGAAAGCGGGGGGACATCGAAGTGCGGAGGGACAGCAGAGAGCGGGGGGAAAGCAAAGAGGTGTGGGGACAACAGAGAGCGGGGGGAAAGCAGAGAGTGGTGGGGACAGCAGAAAGTGGGGGGAAAGCAGAGAGAGGTGGGGACAGTAGAAAGTGGGGGAAAAGCAGAGAGAGGTGGGGACAGCAGAAAGTGGGGGGACAGAAGGAAGGGGGTGGGAAAGTAGAGAGCAGGGGGAAAGCAGAGAGCAGGGGGAAAGCAGAGAGCAGGGGGAAAGCAGACAGCAGGGGGACAGCAGAGAGAGGGGGGGACAACAAAGCAGGGGGGCAGCAGAGAGCGGGGGGACGACAGAGAGCGGGAAGAATGGAGGCGCAGGAGAGAGTTGAGGGACAAGGGAGTGAGGGATAGGTGAGACTTCGGATAAAAGGGGGAACATGGGTGGGGCTTGGGATGCGTGGGTAGGAAATACAGGAATGTAGGAGGGTACAAGGCGGGTCCTATCTCCCAGCGTCCCTGTCCCCCAGCCCCCCCTCTCCCGTTCCCTCCCCCTATATCCAGCCCTTCCCTCCAAGCAGCCTGCCTTTCTCCCACCTTTCCTAT